TCCACAGCCACTGAGACCTCCTGAAACCTCCCAGAGCTGTGAAGACTCAGGGCTTGTCACAAGATACCCTTGTCCCCACTCGCTGCAGAAGAACCCATTTTCCCCACCTCCCATGATGCCCTGCCCCTCATCCTTTAGCCGTGGGAAACTTTCTACCTCCGGGACAGGCATATGAATGGCCAGGCGAATACACAGGCCTGTATGAGGTGGCCGTAGGATTTACTGCCCAAAGCACGACATATGTGAAAGGGGTGGGGGGCATGATTCATAATTATTCTGGAGCAATAGACTTAACCCAGAACTGTCCTGGGACAACCAGGACAAGATCCCTGCAGGTATAAATGTGTGGTTCATAAATAAACCAGGGGAGGAAATGAAGAAATGGGCTTTCATTGTAAGACGGTTATCAAGTCTCAACAGAATATTAGATCCTTCCATGTTTTAGTGGGGAAGGACTAAAACCCTTTCAAATGTGTTTGAAATGTGTTGTGATAGCAACACTATCAAATCATCTTTTATTAATCTAGTAATATAACGTCTCCCCTCCCTGTGTATCATGAGCTTTGTTCTTTATATCTGGGGTGTCATGAGACTCTCCTGTCTCCACCAACTGCAAGGCAATTCTTAGTGTTAGGTTATACTTTTGCAAAAACATCCTCCTGGGGGGCACCTGGGTGGCTCAGTCCGTTAAATGGTTGCCTTTGGCTCAGGTCATGATCCTGGGGTCCAGGATGGAGCCCTGCATCAGGCTCCCTGCTCAGCAGGGAGTTTGCTTCTCCCTTTCCCTCTGCCCCTGCCCTGCTTGTGCTTGACTCTCTCTTTCCCTCTTTTTCTCCAATAAATCTTAAATAAAATAAAATTCCTCCCGTAATTCTGAGTAAAGAGACTTCAAAGTGAAATTTGCCTAGTGGCTGGCTGGTGAGGTTTCCCTGAATGCAGATAATCCTATAAATGGTCTTAATAGGTTGCCTTATTTTAAAGTCTGTGGTCTTTTATTTTCTCACAACTACATACACACAAAGGCCTGCTGTGTCTTTCTGGGTAGCTTTTATTTTTTTCTCTATCAACCACCCCATACGGTACACATGGCCTGGCAAACATATGGCCACGTTATTTCTCATCCAAAGGCTTGAAGCCGTGGATTTTTGGCAGTTGATCAAATTCTGGTGTGTTCTCACGTTATGGGGAATCAGGGTAACAGACACTTTGGCCCAGTCCCATCCCAGGGACTCGGCATCCTTCGCAAGCCAGGTAATAGTGTTTCCGTCTGGCTCAGAGAGCCCCTGGCCCCCCACCCTGCCCTGGAGCTAGCACATACAGCTCATTTCATGAAAGCCAAGTGCTTTGCCCCAAATGCAGCACCCCAGGTGTTACTTTCAGTCATGGCCTTATTTGCAGGGTTGTTTATTTGGTGAAAGCTGGGAAAATTCCCTTGCCACCAACGATTTTATACATTTGCCTAAAATTCCCTCATTAGGGTTTTGATCTTTAGGGGCTAAGAAATAAGTACAAGTGACCCTGTAGTACTTGGAAACAACAATTTCACTCTTTGGTGTGGGAGAGTTTGACCCAGTAATCCCTTCCAACGTTGGGCTGAGATCTAGAGAGAAGGCAGTCTTGGTGCAAGTGGAAGGGGTTGGAGGGTCCAGTAGACCAATCCAAAATGGGGGGGGTAGTGGTTCTGGAGAACCAGAGAGCAGTGTGAAGGTCCTGCAGACACACTGGCCTTGCGACAGCCCTCCATCCTGCGATCTTGTGAGGCCACAGCTCCATCAGCCAAGAGTTCCACTGTGTGAAGAGGGGTCTGTGGGTTGCCAAAATGGTAGCCAAGAACAGAGAACAAAGGGTAAGTGGGGAGAGCCCCATTCCCCTCACCTTTTGTAAGTAATGCTTTCCCCCAGTTACCCCTGTTTCCGTTAACTCAGCAACCTTGTCCTGGTTATCTGACCCTAAAAGCCTTGGTTTTGCTCCCACCAGGAGGAGGACAGAGCCCTGAGTGCTGGGCACGGAGGCTCCCACCTCTCAGCTGTTTTTCTTTCAGACTCCGCTCTGACCTCCCCGTGAGAGGCTACCTGCCACCCAGCACGAGTGAAGAACTAAAGCGGAGTTTTCTTAGCAACTGAAGCCTCGCCCCTGGGATGGGGGAGGAGGGTCCCCTGCCAGGCTCCCTCTTTGAAGAAACACAACCGAGACCAAGTGAGAAGTAGCTACAGTTTAATACAAACCTGCACCAGAACACAATGTGTCGGGCTGTTTTGTCTTTGCCTCAAACAGGTGGCCAAAGCACAGGACCATGTGTCGTCTTGGGGTTGACACGGTCGTAGCACCATGACATTTACAGAGTGAGAAGTCACTTGGGTGCTGGAGGCCCCGACCTGACCCCAGGCCGTGCCTGCCTCCCGGGCAGCTGGGGTTTGGGTTTTCGCGTGCTTCTGTGGTTTCTGGGTGAGTACTGGAAAAGCCTTCCTCACGGCATTGGCTTGACAGAGACCTACTGTGGACTCCTAGCACTACACACACGCACACACACGCACACACGGGAGCACAATTTTCTGGTAACTTAATCCCACAAACCTAGAGAGCAGCTAAGGCAAGAACAACAGTATTTATTCAGCAAGTACAAGACCAGTTTGAGAGCTGCATTCAGTGCAACCGAAGACCCTTGGCATCCCAACCAGGAGCAGCGGGGCCGCGGATGGAGCTCGCTGGAGCTCTGCACGGGGGCAAGGAGTGGGGCTGCGGAGGGGAGGGGGCGGGGGCTGACCGTTCCTTTGGTCCCTTGAACCTCCTTCTGATTTTCATCTAGAAGCTCCTGGGCAAGGGCGGGGTCTGTGGAAGGATCGGGGGGTATATGTGTGTGGGGGGGGCGGTAAGATGAACTGGAAGGCCCATGGGGGCTGCTCCAAGATGCGGCCTCCCAGAGCCACATCCCATGGACTGTGCATCACTCGGGCGGAGGCACTCAGAGAAGGTAAAGCTTTCTTAGCCCAAGCAAGGATGCTGTGCCCGCTGGCTGCCACCACTGCTCGGCTCTTTGGCATCTGCCCAAGGCCCACGACCCAGCAAAGGGCTGGGATGAAGATGATGATGTACATTGGACCGAGGAGTCAGTGTCACGGCTTCCGAGGCCCAGATCCCTACCTACTGTCCCTGTGGTTGCCACCCTCCCCACGAGTGCCTTTGTTGCCTCTGCTCCCTGGGGTACCGTCTCTGTCCTTTCAGCTCCTAAGTGAGAAAGATGAGCAAGAAAGGAGGATGTGGCGGCAGCTCAAGCCACGTGGCAATTCCCCAACATTTAACAGGTTCTGGCTCCGACTGAACAGGCGTTAGCAGGTTTATAAGAAAGGTTGATCTACCTGTGCAAAACAGAATTCTGCAAAGCAGAATGCCTACCAAGAGAGTAAATCTTCTGGATGGTTCCATTCCCAGGTGGGATCTACAAGAAACGCCACCCACTCTTCCTTTCCACAGGTGGGGTAGACAGCCAAGCTCTTAAGGGTCGGCATGGACACTCATGGGGTCAGAAGGCCTGAACTTTCTGGGCCTCGTCTGTGAAATGGGGAGAACAACACATGTTCTGCAGTCGTGTGGGGCACTGGAGAACTCATATATGGAAGTGCTTTGAAAGCATGTGAAGCAGTGAAGACATGGGCAGGGTAGACCACTAGCCCAAGGCCCCAGTGCAAGCCCGGGGTGCGCAAAGCGAATGTGCAACATGAAATCACCTCCCTGACCGGAGGGTGAGGCTTAAGAAGGGCGGGTGGCTGGGATGCCCCCTGCTCACTCGGGGTGGATGGAGATCACCCAGCCTCTAGTGTTTCCTTGGAAACCTCCCCACGCTTCCGAGGCAGGGAGAGCCCAACCAGACGTGGGAGGAGACGGAGGACACGAGCAGGGGACAGGGAGGTGAGGACCCCAGGAGGCCACAGCACCCGTGTAGCAATGTGGGTTCTCGGCCTGGCCTCCTTCCCTGGCATCTAACCTGCTCACTCCTGAGTCCCGCTCTCCCTCTCTTAGCAGGCATGAGGCCTCTTGCCAATCACACGGGAGGAGCGGCTGGGCCTCGGTCCAGCGGGGGGAGTTTACGGGAAACAGGGTGTTTGGGGGTGTGAGTGCTGGGAGTGGCCGGAGCCAGAGATGGGAAGCCTGACTCTTGCTCCCGGAGATCCCCAGGCCTGGCGTACCAGGCGCCACAGAAGAATGTAGGAAACTACCCCAGGAGGGGAGGGGACAGGAGGAGAGCCTGGGACAGGACTGCGGCAGCCTGGAAGATTCCAGGCGGGGGAGAAGAAGGGCCCGTGAGTCCAGCACCCCACCCCGCTCCTGGTCTGTGCCCTAGGCTGTCTGGTCGGCGTCGAGTGCAGCATCTCTTAGGTCCACATCTACTCCTGTTTCTATGCTATGCTAGTGACACGAAGCACCGTTATTGTTCACAGGGTGCACAAACAAGTCAAACCAAACCACTGCGCAAACCAAACGTGCAAAACAAAATCATGTACACGCGCCTGGCACCAGCCCTGTGCCCCGCCCAGCGAGCCCCTCGGGGCCCGTGCCCCCCCCACCCGAGGCTGGAGTGGGAGGAGGAAGAAGCTGGCCAAGGGTGCAGTGTCCCTGCCACACCCACACAGGGGCCAGCGCAGAGTCGGGAGAAACAGGACACCCTGGGCATGGCTGGGAAGCCAACACCTGTCTGACTTGGGAGAAGTGACCACAGGGCCTCCTTAGGGGGAGGGGGTCCTTTTCCTCCAACACACATCTGCTAAAGTGCTCCGGACAGCTGGCGGGTGGGCCAGGGGGCGGGGCACTCAAGGCTGGGCTTTCCCAAGGCCAGCAGGTGGAGGCGGGTGTGAGAGGAGGGGCTGGGCCGGGCTCTATGCATTGGGCTCTGTGCATAGTGTGGGTTTGCTGGGCCCCCAAAAGCCTGCCGGGGCGAAGGCAGGAAAGGACTGCAGCGGGAGGAACACATCTCAAAGTGCCTGTTAGGGGTTGGCTCAAAGCACAGTGAATCACGTGTCAGACATGGGGAGGGCCCCCCCGGGTCCCGTGGCCCCCCTCAGGTGGTACGCCGCCCAGCGCAGCCTCTCCCGCCCCCTGCAGCCGTGGCCGGAGGGTGTGCGGGCTGGTGGCAGCGGTGCGTCCTCACTTGGGGGGCTGGTCAGTGCCTTTACCAAATGCCGCTTGACCTGCCTCCAGGGGGAGCGAGGATCCGAGCCGAAGCTCGCTTTGGAACATGGTCATCGATTTGAGAACCTGCGGGTAAGGACACAGAGGGTGAGCTTGCGGGGGCTCTCATCTGGGCTGTAAAGGCACAGCCACCATCTAGCGGGGGGAGCTGGTAAGCCCTCCGTGGGTGTGATCTAACTGAACCTTCACAGCTCCATCCCATTTTCCAGATGAGGAAATTAAGGCTCAGGGAAGTCGAGTGGCTTGCCCAGGGTTGTAGAGTGTGTCAGCGGTAGAGCCTGGATTTCAATCTAGGTCTTTCTGCTTCAGGGCCTCTGTGCTGAACTGCCCTACTATGCTCTAGCCTGGGCACGTGGGCTCTCGTGGTGCACACAGACCACAGACCACGAATCAGCCCGTCAGCATGTGGACCTTTGCAGACACGCCTCACTGAGTAAGACGGGGAGAAGGCTGGGCATTCCATTGTTCTGGAAAATCAAAGAACCACACCCCAAAGGCCCAGCATCTTGAAATCCCAAGACTTAGAAAAAGAGGCTTGGTGTCTCAGGGAGGGAGTGGGACATTCTTCAGTCCAGCCCATCCAGAATAGACAAGGTTGGGAGGAAGGAAGGTGGGAAGACGCCTGCTATTTGCTGAATCTGAGAGGAGTGGTGCCCTGAGATGTGCTGGGAGCAGAAGCCACTGGCCAGTGGGCCCATAGCTCTGGGCGCCCTGAGGCTTCCCGTGGGGCTGGCTGCTGCGGGAAGGGCTGTGCCCAGGCAACGGCGGGAACCGACGGCTCCCGGGACGGCACTCTACACCGCAGATACGGTGCCGACTCCCAGCACACGTCTTGTCACTGGTGCAAGCAGCCGTGGCCCTCAGGGTGGGCAACACGACTGGCTCTGAGGATGGAGAGGACCCCCCTCCCCCAGACTACAAGGTCCTCAGAACAGGAAGCATATCTCCTTTGACCCGAGCTGCCCCCAGCACATGGGGGGCACAGGGGAAGCTCAGCGGGCAGCCCCTCCCCCTCAGTACCCTTGGCCCCTCGTATTAGGAGAGCCTGTAGGCGCTGATAAATGCCACGCCCTGTGTGGAAAGTTCTGGATCTTGCTCCTTTCACTGTTCAGGTCCCAGTGCGGCCCTCACAGAGTGATGCCAGGCCTCCACCTGGTTGGGTTCTGAAGGCCACTCAGCGCGTTTGAGGAGAGTCCTCCCACCTTCGAGCGCGGCTCCTAGCATCCATCAGAGCTGCCCGCAGGACCAGGCTACATCATAGCCTTGCTTGCTCGTTCCCAGGTGGGGGGGCAGGGGGGCGTGCTACCGTTTTTGTGGCAACGACCCCCACCTTTCACTACTGCAGAGCTCCTGGGATAAACAAAGTCCCAGAGCACAGACACACCCAATGTATCATACGTGATATTACATATATTAAAATTGCTGGCAGAAAAGGGGGCAAACATGAGTCTGAGGTGAGGGAGGAAAGGGAATAAGGGAAACACCTCTTTCAGAGGCTGCTGGGGAACAGGGATGGAGATGGAGAGAGTGCAGTGGGGGTGCACAGCCCTCAAGAGGTTTCAAGGGAAAAAAAAACCATCTGGACTTAGAAGCCATGGGGAAAGCACCCGATCAGCTATGGCCTCTTGGGGTGGCTGGTGCCCACCCAGGGACTGGAAGAACCCTCCCACCCCTCCTAATGTTGGTGTGTCTGTACTGCGGGACGCGGCACTCCTCTCTAGACAAGGGGTGGGGGGAGAAGATGGAGAGAAGCTGCGGAGAGCCCCTGCCTAGGCGGGTCTCTGCTCCCGCTACCCCACCGGGGGGAGACGCAGGTCCCTGGCAGAGCAGCCCCTGTTCTTACCAGAGAGGCTGAAGCTGGACTCATGAAGGTCTCTCATGCCCCCGTGTCGGGTAACAGGCCGGGTGGGAGTGTCTGCGAGGGGCGTTCCCATCTCCTTCTTCCCAGGATGGACGACAACGGCGACATCTCCCAGGTAGGGAGTTCGGTCCACTCCCTTAACCTTTAAGGTCTAGTGAAGGATGGAGAAGGAGAGAACATGGAGAAAGGACACCGTCAGAGCCCGGATGCCAGGGCCACCAGAGCTCCCTCCACAGCTGAGAGGAGGCTGGATGTCGCCACTCTGCTCAGGGTCCAGATGACAGGCTGTGACGAAAACGCCCTACGTCTGGAGCTCAGGGAGTGGAGGATTCTCTTACCTCCTCAACAATGTGTGTGTGTGTGAGCACATGCTTGCACACGGGGGCCCCTGTCTGCTCCCTCTCAGTGTTGGTAGAGTAACAGGGTAGCAGGCAGATTTCTGGGGTACCGCCCTTGCCTGGAGCAATGCTATCCCCTCACCCGCCAGACTCTCAAGAGGCCATGCCTTTTACCATGACCTGACCACTTTGTGGGGAACGAAGCAAAATAAAGCTGATTTGGAGATGAGACACCCCCCGCCCCCGCACCCCCCGCCCCAACGACAATACTGGTTGGTTTTGTGTTCACAAAGGCAGTCACGCTAAGAGCCTACGTTCTACGTCCAGACGGTACGGGCTCCAATCCCAGTTTTGCTTCATGGAAACTCTGTGACCTTATGCAAGTTACCTAATTTCTGTACCAGTTTCCTTATTTGTCAAAATAGGATGGTGACAGCACCTATTACATATAGAACTGTTATGCGTCAAACGGATTAATACACACAGAGCTCTCAGAACTGCTCTGGCCCGATTCAAGGGACATAAGGACCAGCAGCCCTAATCATGGCAGACGTCCTTTCCGCGCGGTTGTTCACGTTAAAAGGTGCTACTAGGAGGAGGACCGAGGGAGTTGGAGTGTGCACACAGGGTCTGAAGCAACACTATAGATGGTCTACACCCCAGACACCCACCAGGGACACAATCTCCAACTCCTTGCTGCTGGCTGCTTACTGGAAACCTTGTTGAAACATACAGGGAATTTCCCGAGGGAACTTCAGCCTATTTGTGTATTCAACGGGCTTCACTTTGGTATCCTGGCTTTGGAGACCAGGGTGGGGGTGGGGCAGTGAAGGGGGGGGAAGGGTGGCAGCTCGGGCTGGCTGAATCCTGAGCCAGCAACCCTGGCAGGCTACACTCCGGCTTCCGGCAGCCCCCTCGGTCCGGGCTGCACACCCAACCCTCAGCTCTTTAGGGGCCCATCATTTGGGAAAAGACTTTTTGTTGGTTTTCTTTTTCTGCATGCATGCATTCTTTTACAGAAAGGCTGTGACAACAGGCAACAGAACAGGCTTTCACTTGGGAACCTTACATTATCATTGTAATACGCGCTTCAGATAAAGAGACTGGGGGTTGAATTTACACCAGTTCTGGAAGCTGGCGCCTCTCCAGGGCGGCTGGCCTAAGGATTGGAATGCTGTGAACTGGTGTTCATCTTACGTCTTTGTGAGCTTGGCTTTTAGAGGGCCTTACAGTACTTCCTCTGCCCTCTGCTGACCCTATTTCCTGACTAAAATATCCTTTTTGGAAAGACCACAAAACTGTCATCAGATATCCACCCCCCCTCAAATTGCAACATAATTCATCAACTGTGAAACTTGTCATTAAAGTATTCAGGGGTGCGTGGGTGGCTCAGTCAGTTAAGTGTCCAACTCTTGATTTCAGCTCAGGTCCTGATCTCCGGGGTCATGAGATTGAACCCCATGTCGGGCTTGTGGCTCGGCACCGAGTCTGCCTGATTCTCTCCCAATCTCTCCCTGACTCCCCCTGCCACTCACACACACTCTCTCTTCCTCAAAAATCAATCAATCAAACAATCAAGTAGATAATTCAGTGGTGTTTCAGTGGTGTATATTCCCAACATTGGGCCGCCCCCACAACAAAAGCAATCCCACACCCCCTCCCCACCCCTCAGCCCTGAGTAACCACTGATAAGATTTTCTAGCTACGGATTTCCTTCTTCTGGATATTTCATATATATGGAATCCTAAAATATGTGGTCTTCTGTGACTTGATCCTTTCACTTAGCACCAGGTTTTTAAGGCTCCGGTATGTAGGGTGGACTATTTGTTAGTACTGTTTCCTGTTCTGGCTCAGGAACACGGATGGATATACCTCATTCTGTTTATCCACTCAACAGCTAATGGACATTTGAGCTGTATCCACTTCTTGGGCTCTACAAATAAAAATTCGTGTAGATATATATTTTTATTTCCCTTGAGGATATACCCAGGAGTAGAACTGCTGGCTTATTTGGTAACTCTAATATCTAACTTTTGGGGAACTGCCAGTCTGTTTCCCAAGTGGCTGCGCCATTTTACATTCCTGCCAGCAAAGGATAAGTGTTCCAATTTCTCCATGGCCTAACCAACAGGTTATTTTCCAGTTTCCTTCTTAAAATGACAGCTACCCTTTGTCAGACATTCCCGGGTATGAATGCCTCCCTCTGTTCTTGCCGGTACACTCTCCAGAGGCTGGCTGAGGCCTCTGCCATTATCCACATCCGAGGAGCAGAAGGGAAATGGGACCATTCACCTCCTGACAGACCCTGAGTTTGCTTTTGGAATGAACACTGTGATAACTGAGGTCACTCTTACTTCATCGAGACTGGGAAGGAATCAGGCAATGGTGGAACCTCGAAGGCCTGCCAGCCAGCGAATCAAGAGGAACCCAGCGGTCATGGACACGCTCTTGGGCCTTCGAGAACCTGGAACTCCCTGTTTGCTAGATCACTTACAATTCTATCTGGAAATCAGGGGCGCCTGGCTGGCTCGGTCAAAGGAACATGTGACTTTTGATCTTGGGGATGTGAGTTTGAGCCCCACATGGGGTGCAGAGATTACTTAAATAAATAAAACTAAAAAAAAAGAAAAGAAAAGAAAAGAAAAAAACACACAAAACTTCTATCTGATAATCAAAGATGGGGAATGGAAACTTGCACTACCCACCCCTCCCAGCCCACGAGGGTGGCACCATAGTTTGTGAAAGAAAGCTGTGGTTTTTGTGAATGAACCTGTACAGACAGCCTCTACTGAATAACTAAGTCTTGGTGAGGACTCTGAGAGTTCGGGAAGGCCTACTGGCCTCCCATCCCACCTGGTGGAACCTTCCTTCCGGGGCTGGGGCCTCGCGGGCCAGCCAGAGGAGTGGGTGTCCAGGGAATAGCTGGGAGGGCACAGGCTGCGGCCACTGCTCCTGGAGCCTTGGGTAGTTCCAGGAAGGAATGAGAAGGGGAGCAAAGAGGGGAGGCCTGAGGCACCGAGTAAAGAAGCTTGGGTTTTGCATAAAGGACTAGAGAACCAAGAGACTAAGGAAGTTTGGCTGAAGGGGAGAGGTCATATGATCATTTCATGGCAAGTGCGCCAAGCCCCAGGTGGCTCTTCAAAGGCCTATTCCTGAGACACCATGGAGGCAGATTTCTAGAATAGTCACAAGGCAGCCGAGTCTTTCTCAGTCAGGGTCCTTCATACCTCTGGTCCCTGCTGGAAGCCAGAGCTGATGATGAGTGGAGAGCACGGGGCCTGTGAGTAGGAAGCTGATGCTGGTCTGGGACAGTGACCACAATGTGGGGGGGCAGGGTGAGGGTGGGGAGGTCACCTGGAAGTGTCCAGAAAAGGCGCCCCTGCCAGTGGCTACTTAGGGCCTCTGGCTGAAAAACACACAGACCATTTCACTGGGTCTCACCCCTGCACAGATAGCAGCTGACGGACAAGGCTGAGCTGGGCAGTTTACCAGAAATCTGCAGGGAACCACCTTCAGAACACACAGTGAGCACCTCCTGTGTACAGAGGACTGAGATGTACTGGGCAAAAAGAACAGAAGAACAGGAGAAGCCGAGTGAGGAAATTAAAAAAAAAAACAACAAAAACATCACCATCTTTCAAGTGTGCCATGATTCCAACCCCAGCATCCCAGAGTCTAGGCAGGAGAGCTGCTGGACCCTCAGTCGTGAGAGAACGCTTGCCCTATCTAGACAGCAGCCTCTGAGGCCACACTAATGCTGCCTTAGGCCACAGGGAGAGGAAACTGCACAATGCTTTCAGCTCTCACAGTGTCAAGAGATGTTCTCTCCTGATGATCTGCGATCTCCGCCCAGAGGTCAGACCTGCTTCCCAGGACCTGGAGCCGTCAGCAAGAATTTGGGCCAGATTCTCCAGGCCAGCTCTCAAACATAAGGGTGGACAGTCAACCCTTGAGCAATCAGAGCACAGCCAGTCTTCCTTAGGGTGACTATCTCCTCAGAGGACAGAATCCCTGGGAATGAGGAGAAGCCCCAAATTTTGGTGAACAGGGTGCTTATGGACTCCAAGGTCTGGGCGGGACCCTTGAGATATGAACTATTCCAGACCTGGACTTACCATTAGCAGTGTTGGCGGGGGGGGCAGTCCAAACCACTGGCAAATCCCACCCTCCTTACCACAGTCACAAGGGAGGGGGAGGTTTCAGGGAAAGAGCAACTCCAGTAACCCAGGCCAAGCCAGGAATCCCATCAGAGGATGGGCAAGAATCTTCGAGACGCTAGATGTTGGGGACATCTGTGAGCACCTTGTAGTAAGTATTCCCTTAGCTCCAGGGGCATTAGCGACTGTGCTCTTTCCATTGTTCCCAAGTGACCATTCCAGACACTAGGACTCAGTGGGAGAAGAGAGAGAGAACATCTCTGAGATTTAATACAGTCATTACAGAATTCCCCAAAAGGGGGCTACTACCTTGTCCCATAACCTTCTTCTCCTTCCCTCATCTTACCTTTTCTCTCTGGACTAGCTTCTTGTAGACAGTGTCCGGGAAGGACCTCAGGGGATAGAACTTGCCAGTGCCCTCCGCACACATGAAGACACCGTTCTCATACACGACTCGGCCCCGGCTGATGGTGACCAGGGGGACGCCATGGCAGCGCATGTTCTCGTACAGGTTGAAGTCTCCTCCCTGCACCTGGGTGCTGGCTGAGATGGTCCTGGGGGAGAGGCAGCGGTGGGAGAGAAAGCTCTGAGAAGAGGTAAAGAGGTCTCGGCTCAGTGGGAGGGGTGGATGCTCAGTGGGAAGGAATAACCCCCAAAGCTGGTGGTTGCAGGCTGAATTGTATTACCCCCCAAATTTATACGCCGAAGTCCTCACCCCCAGTCTCCGAATGTGCCTGCATTTACAGACATGGCTCTAAAAGAGCTAATTAAAGTAAAATGAGGTCATACAGGTGGACCCTAAACCAATCTGACTGATGTCTTTATAAGAAGAAATTCAGACAGCAGACATGGACACTCAGAGCAATGACCATATGAAGACAGAAGGGAAAGGCAGTCATTTACAACCCAAGGGGAGAGGCCCTAGATGAAAGCAACTCTCCTGAACCCTGCAGACACCTTGATCTTGGACTTCAAGCCTCCAGAACTGTGAGAATATAAATTTTTGGTGTGTGAGCCCTCCCCCCGCCCCATCTGTGGTAGGGTTAGGGTAGTCCCAGGAAATTAATCAACTGGGCTAAACTCTAGCATTGTTTTGTTTTTGCTTTTAGATTTATCTATTTTTTTTTTTTTTTTAGAGAGAGAGATCACAAGTAGGCATAGAGGCAGGCAGAGAGAGAGGGGAGGAAGCAGGCTCCCTGCGGAGCAGAGAGCCCGATGCGGGGCTTGATCCCAGGACCCTGAGATCATGACCCGAGCTGAAGGCAGAGGCTTTAACCCACTGAGCCACCCAGGCGCCCCTAGATTTATCTATTTTTGAGCGAGAAGGAGAGCGAGAGCGTGAGCAGGAGGGGCAGGGTGAGAGGGAGAATCTCAAGCAAACTCTGTGCTCAGCACAGAGCCTGATGCGGGGCTCAATCTCGCGACCCTGAGATCATGACCTGAGCTGAAACCGAGAGTCTGACACGTAACCGACTGCGCCCCCCAGGCGCCCCTAAACTCTAGGGACTTTTCTGCCAATAGTGATCAATGACAGCCACACCTCTACAGCAGCAGGGACCTGTCCCCCGGCGTCAGGAGGCAGAACACGGCTTCTCGAATGCTCTTTGGAGAAGAGAGTGTAGGTATCCTGGCACCAGGGCGGGTGGTGGTACACAGGGTGGACCTTCTTTTCAATTCAACTTTTTATTTTCGGATTTCCATTCAATGTTTGCCTGTCTTGCTCACTTCTGGCTTGTGCCCTGGCAAAGTGCCTGGCAAAAAGGGGCACTTAAAAATCTGTTGAGTGACTGAATGAAATTTAATAAGAAAAAAGGGTTTCCATCTCCTCTGCCCGGATCTCTGAGTAAAAACCATGCTCTGTATCCTGCGGCATGGTGACTCCTGACACACTTCGTACTATCACTCGGCTCGTGGTCACTAATGTGTGGCTGTCGAGCACCGTGCTCTCTGGAGTATCCAACACCCTCCCGGAGGGAAGCAGGGGGCAGGTGGGAGAGTGCAGAACGTCAGGGTATCTGTCCCGTTCAGCTGCGTCTTAGCTCTGTGATGTGGAGAGCTCGCTATTCTCTGGTCTTAGTTTCTTCAATAGTAAAATGGAAATAAAAACTCCAGCACGAGTGTTTTTTAGGGATGGATATCAAATGAGCTCATTGATGTGAAGCTGCTTTGAAACGCTGTGAAGAGCTGGGCCCGTGGGGAGGCTCTGTAGCCGGTCTTAAGACTGTCTTGTTCGGGGCGCCTGGAGGGCTCAGTCGGTTAAGCATCTGACTCTTGATTTTGGCTCTGGTCAGGATCTCAGGGTTGTGAGATTGAGCCCTGCGTGGGGCTCTGCGCCGCGTGGGAAGTCAGCTTAAGATCTTCTCTCTCCTTCTCCCTCTGCCCCTCCCTGCTTACTCCCTCCCTCTCTCTCTCTCTTTCGAAAAAAAAAAAAAAAAAGATGGTCTTGTTCATTGCCACATTCCTAGTGCCCAGACCATGGCAGGTCTTTAAATAGTTGTTGAATGGAGTCACACCTCAGGGGCGGACTTCTCTATGCTAGACACGGGCAAAGACGAGAAGCTTGCAGAGTTTGGGAACATAAGGTCCTTCAAACCCCATATCCCTCCAGGGCTGGAAGCTAGCAGGGGTTTTACTTTGTGGCTTCGGGGTCCCACACCACCACGTCGGCGTCAGCTCCGGGGATGATGCGGCCTTTGCGGGGGTACAGGTTGAGAAGCTTTGCTGCATTGGAACTGGTAACGGCCACAAAACGGTTCTCGTCCATCTTTCCGCCAACCTGAAACATTGCAGAAGTGCCAAGTCAACCCAACACTGCGTGTGCCTCAAACCCCTGGTCACCCTTGCCTCTGGCCAGTGGACTTTTAGTGGGTCAGAACCATGGAGCCAAGAAGGACAACGACGTGGGCACCATGGCAGACGAGCCAACCTAGTCGGCTCGGTCCCCTTGCTCACTCCTCGCTCCTTCATCCAGCAACAACGGTGAGTGGGCCCTTTGCAAAAGGCTGTCTAACCTGGTGGAAACCGACCTCCTGTTATACAACCAGCTCTACTCATGGGCTCACTACAGAGGGGTCGGTAGCCTCCCTTCACCCATGAAGGGACATATATTCTGTTCTGTCCAAAAACATCTTCCTGCCTCAGCCACCAGCAAGAGCACCGTGGACTCCCTTCAGGGGGGATTCCTTGGCCACTCCTGCGTCCCCCTGTGCTGGTGGTCTCATCTTGAGAAGGTCAAATCTCCTTCAGCTCCTACTTTGCTGTAGCTACTCTGTGATAGGTCAAGACCAAAGATACCTATCCTTCATGGGGAGAACAGGTGGTATTTAAATGAAGTCCTAGTCCCTATCTTTTCTGAAAAGTAATTAGGCAAAATATATGAAGAGCCTTAAAAATGTTCATATCCTTTGGGCCAGAAATCTGCTTCTAGGAACCTATCCTAATTAAATAATTAGAAATGCTGACAATATATATACTTATGAACAAAGAAATTCTCTGCAGCATTCTTTGGGAGTGCAAAGATTTGAAACAGCTCAAAGTTCCAAACCTCAGAGAAGGATGAACAAATGTGGTACTTCCATCGGAGGAAATGTTATTTAGCTATTCAAAAAGATGTTTTATTATTTATTTATTTTTAAAGATTTTATTTTTTTATTTGACAGACAGAGATCACAAGTAGGCAGAGAGGCAGGCAGAGAAAGAGAGAGGGGGAAACAGGCTCCCCGCTGAGCAGAGAGCCTGATGTGGGGCTCGATCCCAGGACCCTGCAATCATGACCTGAGCTGAAGGCAGAGGCTTAACCCACTGAGCCACCCAGGTGCCCCTCAAAAAGATGTTTTAAAAAGAATTTTTACCAATATAGGCAAACACTTTAGACTGTTACATAAAAAGAAAATGAACCCAGTTATTAAAATAATATGTAGCACACACATAGAACTGGGAAGAAATATATCAAAATATTAATCATTTAATTTCTCAGTATGTAATTATGGGGATTTCCCCCCCTAATACTTCTCTGTATTTTCCAAATTTCTAGAATAGGCTGTACTACCTTTCTGTTTGGGGGAGTGGGTGGAGGGTGGGAATATCTTTTTGGTTTTGTTTTTGAATGAAACAGGGAGCCATTGATGCAGCCCTCCATAGAGTGAAAACTCTTGCTAGGACTGGAGTGGAGATGGGTCCCCAGAACATACCACTCCTCTCTCCCAGATGACACTCAGGCGGTCTTGCACGCCACTCACTCCATGCGGGATTTTGGTGAAGTCCTCCTTGCCCATAGCTTTCTGCTTCGTAGTGAAAGGCCGGTGATCTGATGCCACAATATTCAGAGTATCACTGGAGAGAGAGAAAGATGTGACCGCTAAGGGAGGGAAGATAGGGTCCCAGACGGTGGGGACAGATGCAGGGGAAAAGCTTTCCTTTGGGACCCAGGCCAAGCTGATCTCTGAAGTATGATCTCAAACAAGTTACTTAATCTGTATGAACCTCAGTTGACTCATCTACAGAATGGGAATATGGGTAGAGTGTGACACCGACTGTCAGCGTCACAGGAGACACGGAGGAGAGCTTTTGGGACATCATCTTTCAAGAGCGAAGACTGCAGGTGAATAAAGACTGAACTTAGCATTTTGCTCATGTGAGGCCCAGATGCCAGCTTCCTCTCATTGCCTTCCTCAACCCCTACCAGTACCTGCTGGTGACAAGCCTGTGCTGGGCAAAACATTTACAGGTTCAATGCTCAGCTTTGCTAAACAACTTGCAGCCGTCGCCTTTCTTGGATGTGGGGCTCTAATAGCACCGAAGGGGAAAGGAGGGACGAGAGAGAAAAGTCTGCCTTCATAAACCAGTCACAATGTACAAGTCAACCCGTTCATCACCCATTCCCTCCATGAGTGTCAGAGGGTTACTGAGGCTGGCCTCCATGCGAGGCTGCGGGAGGCTACGGTGTGGTGGGGCTCTTCTGGGCTTCTGGGCTCGCTAGGAACTCAGGGCAGAGACTCAGGATGGTGAGACGCCAGACTCTGCCAAATGAGGGTGGTAGAGCTGGGCCACATTCTGAGATCTCTGCAGCCGAGGGCTCAGAGGTGGTGAGGGGCGGAGGGGGAAGGGTGCCACATTGCCCAGGCTGGGGCAGCCTCAGGAAGAAACACTGTTGGAGGGCAGGCAGGGTCCGAGTTGGAGGATGAAAGTCATGTGAGAGAGGGGGACAACCGCTGGGACCACACAGCAGGAGCCCTGAGAATCTAGTTTATTTGTAGGAGGTGATAAAGTCTTGGGAGTACCTGATGGCTACCCGCATCAGAGGGGGACCTGGGAGCAGAAGGCATTCTCTGGCTTGGTGACCAGATCTGTAAGGCCCTCAGATGACTTGGGGTCAGGCAGCACATGGGGCACTGGGCTACACACTGAGCCCTGGCAGGGCTCATCAGTCACAGCTGTTGCCAAATGACTACTGTCCTTGGCCAGATCCCCAGTGAGATGACTTAGCTCTTCCTGAGTCAAAGCTCCTGCTCTGGGCCTCCTCAGAGCCTGTGGGAGGGACTCCCCACACAGTGGATGGTTTGTTCTAGGGCCCTGGGGTTGCCCACATTCCCTGGGCCTGCAGAACTCAACAGAGTTTCACCTTCTCCTCAGGGGCCTTCCAGACACCCAGGCAGGGATCAGATCAGAAGAGGGGACTGTTAGGGTCACCAACAGAGGGTTAGGGACCTCAACTCCCATTCTTTAACCAGGTCTTACTGAGTACCCACTTCAAAAAAAGACTCATACACACCTGGGGCAGGTGTGAATGAATGTGGTCACATTCCAGAAGGGCTTTTTTTAAAAAGATTTCTTCTGTATTTATTTGAGAGAGCAGGGGTTGGGGGAGAAGGGCCAGAAGGAGAGGGAGAAGCAGGCTCCCCTCCGAGCAGGGAGCCTGAGGACACACTGCTCTATCCCAGGGCCCTGGGATCATGACCTGAGGTGAAGGCAGACTGAGCCACCCAGGCGCCTCCTCCAGAAAGGCTTTTGAGGTCCCCTAAGTGTCTAGGAGATATGACACACCCAACCATAAAGTTTAAAACATGACTGGCTTTGTGAAGTCCTTTAAAATTTTCCATAGTCAAATGAAAAAAAAAACAAAAACCTTCTGGCCCCTTTAAGAAATTAGATTTTGCACAGAGAACAAACTGGTGGTTTCCAGAAGGGAGGGGGGTGGCCGGAGGGGCACAATGGGTGATGGGGAGGGGGCGGTACAGGCTTCCAGTTCTGGAATGAGTAAGTCACCGGGACGAAAGGCACAGCACAGGGGGTCTAGTCCATGGCACTGCAACCGTGTTGTAGGGTGACAGATCATAGCTACACCTGTGAGCCCAGCATAACCCACAGAGCTGTCGACTCGCTGTGACACACCTGAATGTAATGTCACATCCTGTGTCAACTACACTTTAATAAAAAAAGAAAAGAGAAAAGAAATTAGATTTTAAATAAAGGATAATCCTTCCACCCACAGATTGTGCCTTTTACCCTGACATGTAAGAAATCATATCCTAAAGCAGATCGTGAGGAAGCCACATGGATTCTCTTATAGGAATATGATAATCGGTGTCTGCGTTTCCAATCAAGTATTCTGTGCAATGTCAGTTAGCACCAGCAATGCGTTCTAAAGGCAAAAAAGTAACCATAAATTCCTGCAAATCACAGAGTTGTTAAAACAATGCTCCAAATTCTATAAAATTGCACATTTTTACAATATGCGCTGATTTTAAAAAAGGACTCAAACTACTCTCATAATAGTTCACATGAAATTACAATTCGACTTGAGTGAATTTATTTACATAATTGAAATTAAAAATAGGCTAGACATTAAAAACTTAAATTATTCAATTAATAATACTCTTTTACCCCCCGGCCTATTTGAATTTGGGTGTGTGGGGGCAATTACCACCTTTCTGTTCTTTCAGTAAATTGCCTGTGGCAAGCAGAGGTGTTTTGAAAGATTCTTTGACTTTGGAATTGGGCCCGAAGTATTACAGTGGGCCCTTGATACTTGTTTGTTTTTGTTGTGTTGATAATGATGAAAAGGAGGCTGGTTTTTCCCAATGAAAATCTTTTTTTTTTTTTTTTTTTTTAAACTAGGCTCTATGCCCAGTGTGGAGTCCAATACGGGGCCTGAACTCATGAGTCTGAGATCAAGAGTAGGACGCATAACCGACTGAACCACCCAGGCACCCCTGAAAAGCATTTTTAGAAGTATGAGCTAATCTGGCATTTCTCCTCCCGTGTGCTCCCTACTTTATCAGGGATAGAAAATAATCACTGTACAGTGCTGAGCATAGATTGCTCCTCCAGGGGCCTCCTTCACCCTGAGACCTTATTGACTGTACCCTACGCACATCTTTAAGGTGTTATTAACACAGCAGGATGTTGGGTGGGAATTTTCCAATTGTTGGCAACCAGGATGGAAAAGTAAGGAGGTGGATAAAATAAGGGTCCCATTATCTAAAGACAGCCATCTTTAGTTGGGGCTGGCCATGTCCCTCAATCATCCCCACCATCACCCTAGAAGAGAAGAAGCTTATCAACCCCCCCCCACCACCAGATGTATAAAACCGAAGGACAACAGGCAGGGAGATTGAGGTATTACAGAATGGAGAGTCTGTCATCTTTCCTCCCTCCTTCTTTTCATGGTTTGAGTGGGCTTTCCTACTCTCTCTCCTAGCAGTCAAAGAGGGCACATCTCAACAGGCTCACCCATGGAGAACAGAGGCGATCGCAGTGGGCCTTTGCCTGGGAGATGGATTAGTGGACGTGCCTGAGTCTCTGGGTCAGGAAAGCCCATGCGATGGGGACAGCCTTCCCTCCCACCGTGGATAGTGGCAAAGCTGGGTGAGATTTCGCGGGGCCCCAGACACTGTAGAAGGTGGCCAGGCTTGAGCGGACTTCCAGGGTCCCAGTCTGCAGAGATACCGCTAGCTCTGGTAGCAAAAAGGTGCAGGAGGAAGAGGTCAGGCTGGACTCCATCTCCCGGAGCAGGGGATTGTTGGAGGGGGGCACAAGAGAGCCCGCACTGGGCATATGCCCTGCCCAGGGAGGGCCCCAAAGGCCAGTCGCTTTCTGCCTGAGAAGCAGGAGTACAGGCTGGTGCTTGGGAACAGAGACGAATTCCCAACCCGAACTGGGCATGGGGAAGGAAGGAGATGGACATTTAAATTAGACTGGATTTCGGTAACTAAAAGGGAGAGGAAGCAACGGACTCTACCCACGATGTTTCTAAAGGAAAGGAAGAAGCTGCAAAAAGTTTGGGATGAAACAAAAGCTTTTCGTGTTTGTGTCCCTCTGAATTCGGCCTGCCTTAAACCTCTGCCTTTAGATTCGGATCACATGGGAAAAGGTGTTAGAAAAAGAGGAGCTGGAGGAAAGGGGATCTGGAAGGGTAGGATGAGGGGAACGAGGGGGAGAGGCCAGAAGGCAGAGGGAGAAGAGGAAAGAAAGAAGGGAGACATGTGGGGGAGAAGAACCACATGCAAAACAATGAGAGGAGAGAGAAGTGAAGAACAAAGAGACAAAAGGCCCACGTATATTGTAGGTCCTGTCAGAGGACACATCCCACGGCCCTGCCGTGGTCTTCAGTGCAAAAAAGGAATGTCCCTTGAAATTCTGCATCACCACTGTTCACACTTTTCCATATGCTCCTGCCTCTCACCCTTCAGAAACTCTCACTCCAAATCCAGTGGTCAGAGAAGCCCCAGGGGTTGTCAATTATCTGATGGGCTCCAGAGAAGGTCACCAAAGCCAAGTCATCCCACGGGCACAATGAAATTAGGTCAGGTTCGGGGCCGCTAGGACATCACCATGAGGACGTGTAAATTCCTGGGAAGGCGCCTATTACGAGTTAATGGTGCGCTCTGGGGCCATGGGGTTCTGCTGAAGCGCCTTACTTGGCCAGCAGGCTCATGAGGTAGGTTGAGGTGTTGGTGTCCAGTCTCAGTGGAGGCACCGTGACGTAGGCGGCCGCGTGGGACCAGTCCTGGTGGTAGTAGTGTAAGCCGGTCAGCGTGGCATGCGCCGTGGTGGTCTCAGCCAGCACAACCTTCCCTGCAAGCAGAAAGGCCAGACCTTAAAGTAGGAAGCCACTGACCCGAGAGACCGTTGGTCCGAATGGCCCTACGTGAAGGAGCTAAAGTCAGAGAGAGGAAGGGACTTGCCCTAGCTCACGAGCACGTTTGAGAGCACAGTTGGGTTTAAGGTGAGAGCGCTACCTCTCGCCAGGCTGGCTCCAGGCAAGAAGAATGGAAGGGCGGGGGCACCGAGGGGAGGGGGGCAGCAGTGTGCAGTGCTTGGGCTCGGCTGGACCACAGGTGCTGTGCTGCGGGGCACTGGTGGCAGGACAGAGGGGCAGCCGTGCAGGTGAGACATGCCGGGGCTCCCTCGAGAGCAGAGGCGGGATCCCGGAAGCCTGGCGGTCCTTCCTCTGATTTATATTCCCAGGTCGGTGACCATGCCTTTGTTTGTCCTGTCAGCAGGACCTCACTGGCACCCTGAGCTGGCCGAGACCACAAGCACATATAGAATCCTCCAGATGCTGCCTGGTGCTCAGCCACAGCAGACACACAGGTGCCCCAGGGCTCGTACACCGGGGGGCCGGGAGGGAAGTTGGGCTCAGATGCTGTTATCCCTCCAGGGACTTCCCAAGCATCCCCTGAAGGGTCCATTGGAACTGGTCCAGGATTTTATGTCGGTTACCCAGGCAACTGCTAGTAAAACCCAAGAGGCCAAAAAAGACAGCAATTAATGAGTTGCCTGAAAACTTGGAAAATTTGACCAGACCCAGGGGAGGTGACAGACACTTCCGTAAAGCTGTTACGCAGACAAAGGTGCAGAGGAAAACACTGGTTCTAAGGCACTGAACCGACGCCAGAGCGGAGTGCTTCCAAGGGTGCCAGGAGAGAACAGCGCATACACTGGGCTGGCGGCCCTGTAGGGCGGCAATCCCACCACACATGCGCACTGTCCATTCCGGCCCCAGGACTCACCTTGCATCTTAGCAGCTGCAATAACATCACCGGCCGAGATGCTGGACACGTTGACCAGGTAGATCGGGCAGTGAGTCTAGATAAGGAAACCCAGTGGGAAGGAGAGAGCATCAATCCCGTCAACCAGCCAAGCACGAGCACGATCCCCGCCACACGAGCGCTGGCCCCAGAACCTCCCCCTGCACCTCTCAGCCCCACTCTCAGGGTGAGGGTCTTCCACCGGGAACACCCAGCCCCAGAGCCAGTGGAAATATCGGGGTAAGATGTCAGCTGACATCAAGAGATTTATAACCTAAAACAAGGGATTGTTTTCTATTCGCGAGTGTGATGACCTAAAACAGTCGTGGATTATACTCTGTGTCGAAAATGACAAAGCCTGGGTGAGGGCTGCTTTATCAGTAGACGGAAGGCATTCAGGACAAGAAACAGAATACAGGAGGTTGAGGGCTCAGAGTCTATGTCAGACAGGACTGGCCTTGCAAACAGACACCTGGACTGTAGTCGATGAGCTTCTCCTCCACGGAGCTGTACTACAAAGGTTCACGGCTTTGCTTCTCTGGGCATAAGTTTGAGCTAAAAAATAGGAAGCCAGCCTTGTGTTGTTCAGATCTCTCCTCACTATGGAGTAAGTTTCCATCAGGAAGTAATTAATATCCTAAGTATCATTAGATCAGTAAAACAACGTCCCAGACTTGTAAACTGCTAGTGGGAGGCCTTTCCCAAATGTTTTTCTGATTCTCTGAGAGGACAGAGAGCTTAGGAACAGGCCCGATTTGTCATGTACCTGGCACAACTTTACTGTTTAATTCTGAGATCCGCTGGACCTCCAAACTGTGTGTTTTCCCTGGTGTTCCTAACACCACCCCTCAGGTTTACACCCTTAGAGGCAGTCCACGTCTTTCCAGAGGAGAGGTTCTGGGGCATGAGTGCCCTCTGGAATCAGCGGTGGGCTTTTTAAAACAGATGGCTGGGTATCACTCGCCATTTCGGATTCCATAGTTCTGCACGGGCCCAAGAATCTGCATTTCTAAACTTCTAACACATGCTCGTGCTGCTGGTCCAGGCATCGCACTTAGAAAACAGCTGCGCTAGAGGTGACGGTTCAGATTTGCTGAGCAAATCGAACTCTTTACCGATAGTGTAGAAGGAGAAAGAACCTTGGTCTAGTGCTCTGCGGTTCACAAGGTGCCTTTCCTTCTCTGCCTCCTTTCAGCCTCACAACCATGCCGTGAGGAGGGCTATTACCACTCCAATTCTAGGTAACAGAAGAGCGGATCAGAGCGGTTGAGTGACTTGCATATGCTGAGCTTGTATTTGGTCAAGGCCTCACATCCCTTGCTCGGTTCCCATCAGCACACTGCACCTGCACCCCCAGACCCTGAGCAATACCAAGGAAAACTTCTAAGGGGTCCAGAGGCGGAGGTTTAAGCAAACATCTACCGAGTTCCTCTACAGGAAACAGAGTTCAATTTCAGGGAGGCTCTGTGTCCCCCGGACCCACCTGACTCCCGAGGGAGCCATTTCCACTTGAGCAGTGAAGGCAGGCTCAGCAAGCTCGGGGGGTGGGGACGACAGAGAGCTGGCAGCAAGGATTCTGCCAGGTCTGTGGGAATACCAACATTCACCCAGCAGAAGGTTCTGGGGTCCTGCGAAGTCAGGCATGGGGTTGGCAGCCAGGGCAGAATGGGACCCTGCCATGCAGATGGAAGAGTCTAGCTTCTGATCCCGGAGTCAAGAATAGGTTGAGGGGAAGCCGGGGTCTACTTACTCTGTTTGCAATGGTGATGACTCGGTGAGTGGCTTCAGCTTCCAGCTATTGGAAACAAAGGACAGAAAGAAAACAAGCTTCACCATCTTTCCCAAGCATGCCCTCATCTGCTCAACAGTCCACTCTGTAGAGAATGCTGGAATATCCAACACAGAGCTGGAAGGGTCCACTGTAACCCCTAGGGGCTGCCTTCCAGGAACACTGAGCTCCAACCACTCTGCTCCTCAAGAGAATCCGAGCACTTAGGACGCCAGGCATAGCCTCACTGGATGCTCCTCAGGCCTTAAAGAAAAGGCAACAAAACAAAAGCTAATGGAAACCTAGAGTCCCATCTCTCTGTGTTTTCTGGTGTGGTCTCTCCACAGCCACCTCAGCAGGATTTCTGAACCTCGGCACTGTGGGCATTCTGAGGTAATTCTTTGCAGTGGGGACTGCTGGGCACCATATGGTCCTGAAGCAGCCTCTGCCACCTCTACCCATGAGATGACAGCAGCACCACGCCAATGTGGGACAACCAAAAACATCGCTAGACATTGCTGAAGTTCGTCCAGAGAGCAAAATCTCCCTTGATGTGGAGCCTTTCACTGCTAGACGATGATGGTGACGACTCATGCTATTAATATCGTCCAGTCAAAGCCTTGCTCTTGCCCTCCTATAACTGGACAAAGCCCAGTCCTGTGCCCACCCGCCTACTCTTGTTCTCACAGGCACGCTCAGGGCCTTGTCTATCTGATGGCAGGGCCCTAGCATCCTGTCTCCGGCTCCTCGTCTCTCATGGACATGCAGCCACCACTCTGCACTGACGGCTTTGAAGAAACGGAAATAGCTTTCTCCTCACAAATGGCGGAGGATGTCTGAATAGGGTCACAGGACAAGAAGGCGTTATTTGTCCAATGTGGTCCCTCCAGAGCAGAATTCTCTAGCAGGGAGGGGGACTACCGGGGATGTGTGTGGACGCCATGCAACGCTGAGCAAGGATAGAACCACAGGGCAAGGATGGCATGGCCTTTCATCACTGTCACCAGGGGTCACAGGGTAGTAAAGGGCGGAGAGCGGAGACATGGGTGTGCCCCCGGTTTCTGGTGGGAAGGATCCAAAGGTTTCCTCAGATGCTGAAAGGGGACCTGTTCCGAAAATGCTTACTCACTGACTTACAGTCTGGAATTTCTTCTAACACCTGAAGGCCATTTCACTCTGCCTCCCAGTCCCCCCCGACCCCCGTTCAATTCTGGGGAAAGCATTTCCCACTATTCTCACATTGTCTCCCTCGGATCCCTGAAACCAGAATCAAATCATGGGTCTGGTTCCCCCCAAATTGTCTTTCCCAAGGAGGCTCAAGGCCGTGTTAGCTTCAGCAGTGAGGAGGCCGTTCCCTGAAAAGCTTCCAGATGAGAATTTCACCCATGGAGAAAGCGATAATATACAACTTTGATTTACTGATGTCTCTTCTATCCTAAAGATCCTGTGAATCCATAGGAAAGAAGAGAACAAGAGGCATGGAAAATTTTCCTCACCTCCTCTGGGCGGCTGATCTCGATTCCTTCTGGGCCAGTGATACCCAAATCTAGCGCTTCCTTGGCACCCTGAATAAAAGACAGAAATTTGAGAGAACCATGCAGATACAAGCAAATCACAAACCCCAGGGACACTCAAATATGCTGGACACAGCCCATCCCTGTAGGCTTGCTACTTTTTTCACTTCTGCAGTATTCTCCCCAAAGAAGGCAAAATCAGCACAGGGCTCCCTTGCAATAGGGCTCTCTTGAGCCTCACTTCATGAGGACTGGACATATTTTTCCCTCTTAAAATTATAGTTCTGTAACTAGCCCAGAGGCTTGGGACATCCAAGACAATTGGTCTGAAAGTCTGAAAGTCAGAATTGCCCCCACTCAAAGTCTAGTTCAATCTCTAGCTTCCAGAAACACCTAGATGAAGCCTTCCCAAATATCCTATTTAATTTCCAGGAGTGCAAAGGGGCTCATCTGTCAGTGAGGAAATCGCTAATAATATCTCGGCTCCTCTGGCGGGGTGTGGGGGGGTAACAGGAAAGCAGAGCTGACTCTCATTTATTCTGATGTCAAATCTCATTAAAAATATTTCTTAGAGGTGCTCCAAATTCTTTCGCTGTAATAGAATTTAAATATCCTATCATTAGGACTAAGACATCATTATCTAAGACTCAGAAACCATTTTGGACTGTAAAGAGATTTTTGTTTCACAGACAGTAGACAAGTTTGGATTTTCTGGATTTTCATCTGGGGTGTCAACATATCACACTTTCTTTTATAACTTATTTTATCTGAACAAAATCGTGGGATGGGTGATGGGGGTGGGTAGGGGATCCCCCCGAGAACTACCTGTACGGGCGCCCCAGCCTCCCCCCCACCAATATTCTCTATCGCCTTGCCTCGGCCACAAGCTCCCCATTCTCAGCATGGACTCGGGGGATTGCTCCAATGTCCTTGCAAGCGTGCAACACCTGGTACAGCTCACTGTCCCGAAGCATATACAAGTCTTTGTAGGTCATGAACATCTGGAACGAGTTGACACCCTTCTCCCTTACCAGTGTCTCCATTTCTGCTTTCACCTGGAGGACAAAATGCAAAGGCAATGCCATGTGAGTACAGATGTTTGAGAGGCTTGCTGGCGGGTGCCGGCCGAGGATGGAGGGGACGTGAGCCGGTCGGCAGAGTGACCATATGACCACCCGCCATCTTACAGAATCTCACTTTCCCATAGGCTGCTGGGAGGTCACGTGAGCAAACAGAGGCAGAAGTACTTGGAAAACTGTCAAGCGTGACATAAATATAGGCTATATTGTTACCGTCCAGGTGTGTTTCTGCTACCCCAGAGGCTTGTCCTGTGTTTCTGACTCCGAGTCAGCCTTCTCGGTAAAAGCATTAACAGCTTTTACTCCCATGGCTTGTGTCCCCTGCTTCCCTAATGAAAGTGGCATTACAAAGAAGGCACAATAATGCTAAAAATCCTGAGCGCCGGGGTGCCTGGCTGGCTCAGTCAGTGGAGCACGTGACTCTTGTTGTTGGGGTTGTGGGTTTGAGCCCCAGGTTGGGCATGGAGATTACCTAAAAATAAAATTTAAAATAAAATAAAAAATCCTGAGGCCCTGGGGAAAATCCAATTTAGGAATATGAACAAAGCTATGTGAATAAGGAGTTTCATCCCAACATTATTTATATCAGGAGAAAATGGAAGCAACCTCGGTCTGACAATAGGAAAATAAATTGAAGTTTATCTCCATGAAGACCATGTAGGCAAATCAAAAATTTTCTCACTTAAATTAAAGAGTTACTATGTCAAAAGCACTTATGGAAAAAAAGACTGGAAGGAAATAAACTAAAACAACAGTGGCTGTGTTTGGGGTGGGGGGTGGGGGGGGCGTGACCAGATAATGGGCTTCTTTCCTACTTTTAAAATCCACAGTGAGAAAGAAATGATTTGATACTAACAAAAAAGAATTTGAGAAGTGTGGAGGTCCCCACAATCTTCAGGGACCTAGAGATGGCTGGCCTGGCCTCAGTGTGGCTGAGAATTGGAATGGACGCGCTATTCCCGCCAACTCCCGTGGGAGGAGATAGAGAGGCTCGGGGTAGGGTTGTCCATCCAGAAGGCTGTCCAACACAAACCTCCCCCCACTTGCGGTAACGGCTGGCTGACCTTCAGGGTGGTCTGCGCCTTTGCCCAAGAGCAGCAGGGAGGGTTCCATGGTGTGAGGCCTGGGGGGCTCCCAGGCCTTTCCTGAGGGCCAGGTTGGAAATAACGGAGGAGACTGGGTGACTCCCATGCTCCCAGCTAAAACCCAAGGGCAGAAGTGCAGGAGGCTTTTAATTCCATCTGAGAAGGGAGTCAGGCCCTTTAGGCCAGGCTCCACAGATGAAGAACTTTGTAAAATGTCTTAATGCTTGATGTTTTGTTTTGTTTTGCTTTAGAGTAGACTCCACGCCCAATGCTGAGTCTGATCTCATGGCCTTGAGATCAAGAGCTGCGTGCTCCTCTGACGGGGCCAGCCTGGCGCCCCAATGCTTGTTCATTTTCATGACTCCAGGGCACCCACGCGAGTGCTGGCACACGGTGGTTAATACGGAATTGATGAAAGAACGAATACCCAGCCTGCTTCCCTTGGGTAATAAGCACAAAAACTCTAGAAACAAGCAAAATCTGAAGGCTTATCTATCTGTTTTTAGGAAAAGCCAGGAGGTGGGAATCTGGGACCTGGGGCAGGGGGAGGATGGGAAAGCCATGAGTGAGGGCCAGCCTCTGAGCTCTCAGAACGGGGGCTGGGCCCCCAGAGGGAAGAAGGGACCCTGTCCATTTGTTCCAGGCAGCACCGAGTCAAGATAGCAACCTCTGTTCTGTTCTGAGCCCGCAGGGCCCTGTTGTCCCCTCCACTGTGAAAACGATACGACCCTTGGAGCCTGACTCTTGCCAACCCCACTACTCAGGGCTCCCCATACCTCTGCCTTAGGCCCTCTCTGTCTGCTGGAAAACTGGCCCTTTAAATTATGCAGAACAAGCCTTCTCATCCCCTTGTGGAATCATGTGTTTTTTTCTTTTAGCATTTTGGGGGGGTGGCTAGGATGGCATGGGATGGGGAGGTATCCTTAACCCTAGCCGACTCCGACCAAATGGCCCCTCTGCCTCAAAGAGCATTCATTCTTTTTTGGGGACTCCAGCCAGCCCCGTTACCTTGGGTGCCCACCAGGTGATCCCCACGTGCAGGGCGTAGTCACAGCAAACCTTGGGGTCGGCTAGACCCCGGCACTTCTCGTACGCCTCCACGAGGGAGGTCTCCTTATCGGGCAGGACGTGACCAATGACCATGGTGGTGCCTCCAACGAGGGCCGCCTGTGGGGGACAGGAAGAGCAGTCTTGTCACATCCCTTCCCATAGCCGAGTCCCCGATGAAGGCAGACATTGGGTAGACATTCGGGCCAACCACAGACCCTATCAAGCAATAGGCTGTGAATCCTCAGTGCAGCAACACACGGGAAGCTGGAAGGAGCTGGACACGCAGGGGCCGGTGGGTAACTCATCACCACTGCGGATCTAGCGCACGAACCTGCTTCTTCCTCGTCTGGGGTTGTGGCGTCTGGGGTTGTGGCTCATCACTCTGGAAAAACCACCTGGTGTTCCCTGAGCCCGAGGCTAACCTCTCCTTTCCAAACAGCAGAGTCCCTCCACCCCCAACGATTCTGGCCAACCTGAATCTATAGATGACACAACCAAATGTTTCATGTCATACATCTATTTATAATATTTATTTAGTCACCAGACGTATTTAAATCCTACTGAAGGAAAGCTTAATTTGGATATATCATTTTGTTTTATTCTCTCATATTTCACAAAACAATTTTATTTATTTATTTAAAATATTTTTTATTTGATAGAGAGAGTAAGCAGCAGGGAGGGGGAGAGGGAGAAACAGACTCCCCCACGTGGGGCTCGATCCCAGGACCCCGGGATCATGACCTGAGCTGAAGGCCAACGCTTAACCGACTGAGCCACCCAGGTGCCCCTTCATAAAACAATTTTATTCAAAGTTTTCATATGCACCTTCCACATGGGGTTTTGTCTTCAGTTTTTCCAAGCACACTGAGTTCATTTCCATTTCTCTTGTTTGAGATAAGGTAGTTTCTAGGTCCCTGTATGATTTATCGATGAAAAATTACTCTATTCACAACCTCCACAAGGTACCACTTAAAAAGAAATCTTCAAAAAGCCTCACTTGTAATAACAATAATAATAATTTTAAAAAGCATACCTCCAGAAATAATTACTAAATCTCTATTAAAGATCCACCTTCCCCACATATGCTTTTTTTAAAAACCAGTTTGGTCGGGTGTCCTGCATAAGCTTCCAGAACTAGCACTGACCAAAGGCTGTTCCAGGCTAATGTGTTGTTCCCAAACAAAACTTCATCAAAATAGAATAATTAAGAGAGGGCTCCACCACTCTGTGAGTGCTCTGCTAGAAGATGACCCTCTCTTTCCAATGAGTAAAAGTTTGGACAAAACCCGTCCTTCTATTTGGGCCCAAATTTGAGCCCCCACTCTCCACCTCCTAGCTGGATAACCTCAGTCACATTACTTAACCTCCCTGAGATGCTTTACCTATAATAGCTACTATAATAGCTACTTAACCTCTCTGAGCTTTACCTAAATTGGCTTTCTTGCCGGGTAGTTGGGAAAGTCAAGGGAAACATCTCGAATAAAATGGACTGAGTGAAGTCTGTCCTAATGTGTGCTTAACTATCCAGACTTTGACTGTCTATCTCCGTTTTCTGTAGGGGAGTAAAACAGGACAATGAAATTGTCTTAATGATTTCATGCTTCTCTAGTCAGTCAAATCCTTGATCACAAATCAGAAACATTGCTGGGGAATGGGGAACTGAAAAAGATAATTAGTTCAGTGGCCAAACAACAATTAAAATGAAAACTCTTGCAACACAGATTTCCCAGCTGACCCTGGTTGGGCCAGGGAGACAATTCATGTTTTGAAAAGTCAGGGGTCCCACTTTTTGCACGGCTTAAAGCAACCAATAGAGGGCGGTAGTTTTGCGGTACACAAAGGGGGAACAGGGGTTGGTGGGGGCAGGGAAATGAGAGAAGGGGAAGAGCCCCAGATTGTAGCTTTACTAGCTGGCTTCTATTTGTGATCCGGCTGGGTCTGCCAGGCTGATTCACCCTTATGGCAGCTGGTTGTACTCTATTCTGCCCTGAAATGCATTTCTTGCCTTTACACGTGGACATGCGGTGTGTCGAATATTGGGATTTCATATACTAAATTATTTTATTTTATACACTTAATTATCTTATTGGTTCTTCGTTCCTTTCCTTTGCACTTCCCCCAGTATGTCTGTGGCCTTGATTAGAAAAAGGGGGACCTGGAAACAGCACAGTCTGATAAGAGAGCCAAGACTCTTCCTAAGATCTGTGGGTCCCACACCAAGAGTAGAAAAGGAGGTCCATGTGCTGAACCTCTAAACAGTCAAAAGTTACAGATCAAGCTGTTACACGGAATACATTCTATCCTCCTACTACTCTGACAAATATACAGCCAAGAAGGCCAGGTCTGAATTTAGAGCTCTTGGGAGTCCTTGCAGCTCTGAGCTACACTGTAGGGGATGCTGGCCTTCAGCCTTTGCACCTGCCTGCAGCTCACACCCGTGATCTTGGGTTCATCCTGCAGCCTGTGGGTCGAAGGTCTGCTCACTCCCTGCAAAATGCTGCCCTTGGACCAGGCGCACACACACTGGTAGTCTGGCCCCCAGGAGGACAGAGTCAAGCTTGGTCCTGGAAGTGCCCAGAACCATTCGTTAGGGAATCCCAGGGACCCTGAGTCTAGAAGAGGCCAGTGGGCTCTGGGCAGACACGGTCCCTCTTGCCTGAGTCTAAGGACAGTAACTGAAGGGTTCTGGTAGGTGTCTCTGGACGGTGGTGCTGACTTTCCCACTTACTGGCTGGAATCCCGGGCCAGCTGTGCGCCCGCGCTGCACCTCACCTCGTGGGGGCCCAGAGACAATCTGGAGGCAATGGTGTGAGATCATCTGCAAACTGGGAAGGGGCACATAAATATCTGAACTAATTATTTCTGCTAAAACCTCCGGTCTAAAAACACGAGTTTAACAGGATCAGCAAATACTCCCCCAGCTGCAGGCTCAGGAGTCCGGCCCAGATGCTGGATGTACCAGGACGTACAAGCACTTGTTTCCTCCCAGGCAAGACAGACACAGAGCTGGCTTTGAAAATATGTACAGTTCCAACCCACAGGATGAACGCCCACAAGCTCCGATTCCTGGGAGTGTGGTGTCACAGATGTGACAGACCTTTTTACTGTCATCCCACACAAAACAGCCTTGTAGAAATCAACAGAGAGCACGACTCACTCCTGCTCCTGAGCCTTTCAAAGGGATTATGTTTATGAATATGGGGCTGTGTGACTGCTGAACGTTCCTGGTTTGAGGCAAAAAATGGTGTTGGTTTAGCAAGCTGTGGATAATGCTTAATGGAAGTCAACAGAAATGACGTTCATGGAGTCTAAGTCATAACATGGAAAAAGGGTGATACTATAATGAGCAAAAAAGGCAGAATTCAATATGTGTACCCAAGATGCTGAGAAGTATGTTTAAACACACAGGCACCCACACAAGGAAAAACATGGGAGGAAATAGACCAAAACATTAACAAGGACTGTTTTTGAGTGATGAGAGTCTGAGTTACTTATTTTTTCTAGTTTTCTAAAATCTACTTAATAGATTATATTACGTTAGTTATAATATCTTTTTTTAAACATAAATTTGGGGGAAGCTAAAAATTATTTAAAATTTAGTTAACCATGTGGGGCGCCTGGGTGGTTCACTCGTTTAGGTGTCCTACTCTTGGTTTCAGCTCAGGTCATGATCTGGGGGGCCAGGAATCAAGCCCCATGGGGCTCCCTGCTCAGTGGAGAGTCTGCTTAAGATTCTCTTTCTTCCTCTCCCTTTGCCCTCTCCCAACTCCCCTCCAAGTTCTCCCTCTCAAATAAATAAATCCTTAAAAAAATTTAGTTAACCATGCTTCTGTGTTCAAAATACTTTCTTCTAAAATTACAAAACATTTCAAATGTACAGTAAAAGTATAGAAAAATAATACAACACACAGGCATGAGCCTGCTAGTCAAACATAACAGATTTAACACTTTTTGCTGTTTTTTAAAAAAACATTTAACAAATGGACTATGAGCAATCCAACCAAAGCCCTCCATCCCTCTCCCCTGAGGTTGATATAAATTGCTCCCATCTACGTTTTTATGCTTTAGATTATGTTTGTTTCGTGAATTTAAAAAATTTACACCAATGGCATTGGACTGTCCACACCTTTTTGCAACTTGCTTTTTAAAAACTCAACATCTTTAAGATCTATTTCATTCCCTTCAATGAATGGTATGAATACTCCTCCAGGGCGGTATTCAATTCCGAGTTCATGGACGCTTACAACACTTGAGTATTTCCGCTCACGCGGGAACAGTCCCCACGGTCGCGGTGGACGTTACCCGGAAGTGGCGGTGTAGCTTCGCGGCGCATGAGCACCTCCAATTCTACTGGCCTGGTCCAGAGACCAGCCCTCTCACCGCGGTGTCCTGGGGCCTCGTGGCTGACCAAAACTGCACATTTACCTACACCGGTCCTTGAGTTTTTACCTAAACTGCTCTCCAGCCAAGCAGCTCTACCGAGTCTGTGACAAATGTTTTTATTGTGAATGTGGGACTTCACATCTCTCAATGTTAAGTTAATATGGATATTGGGACCATTCGTTTAACCGACAGACACAGCATCATGATACACATTTGGCAGGAGAGGAAACATAACTTGAGTACTTGACAGGGTTACCGTGATTTTATTTTTAATTTTTAAAAAATGTTATAATGATTTTTATTTATTTACTTGAGAGCGAGCATGAGCACGGGGGAGGGGCAGGGACAGAGGGAGCTGCAGACTCCCCGCTGAGCAAGGAGCCCCACGTGGGGCTTGATCCCAGGACTCCGAAATCATGACCTGAGCTCAAGGCAGCCACTTAACCAAGTGAGCCACCCAGGTGCCGCCGTGATTTGTTTTTGACATTTGTGATATTCTGTGGGGTAAATCTGGAATTATTTGATGCTCAGTAATGTCAATTCCATTTGTTTCCTAATAAAACCCAATATACTTAATGGTAATCCATTTTATGACCCACTCTCCAGGCATACACTGGGCTAGAGCTTGTACTGAAACTCGAACTAAGCCTGATAGAAATGTCGTCTTTATGCTTCAGAAGTTCATCAGATGACTACAGGGCACACAGAGTCTCCATGTGGACCAGATCCATGCT